CCCCTCTAGCCCGTACTTTGATACGAGGACAGGAAGAAGGGCAGTAGTTGGTAGAAAACGGTTCCTTTCGTTGAGACCTTTCATTAGAGTACCATGAAGGATAAAACTAGTTCCACTCCCCCCCTACCCCTCCTCCCGTACTTTGATAAGAGGACAGAAAGAAGGGCAGTAGTTGGTAAAAAAGATTCCTTTCGTTGAGACCTTTAATACAATGAGAGATAAAATTAAATTTTAACCCCCCCCCCCCTTCAGGCCCCGTCGCTCACTGATCCTGAATAAGAGTCGCACGGGAAAGTTATAGTTTGTACAAACCAATTTATTAAGTTAAGACCTTTCATTAGAATACCATGAAGGGTAGAACATGTGTTTACCCCCTCCCCTCCGCCATTTTCTAAAGTTTAACTTGGCACCATTAAAGGCATGCGTATGCAAAATCTGAGACCAATTGGTTGTCGTATGTAAAAGTTATGTACGTTTTACTTTCAAAAACAGCATCTCAGGCAGATAATTCGGAGGGGGCGGGGGCTATTTAAGCAGCGAAATTTGGGCGCCGGTCGCAACCTTCAACGTCATAGGCTACCTACTGCAAAAATTCCGCAGAACTCTAGGACCATCCCAGAAGTAGCTTCGAAACGCCGCAGAAAGTGGCCGTCCGCGACGTGTACGACGCGCAACAAACGCCAAACAATACCACATTTTTTAATCTTAAAACAAAAGTCTTAAAAAATGCGCCTAAAAAAAGCTAATACTTTATGAGTACCATATTGTTATTACCACAGACAACATATACTACAGACGGTCAATCTTAAGGGGAAAAAGCACGCTAAGTTTTGTTTCAATGTCCCCTTATTTAAAAACCTGCTATCCCTCTATTTTGCTCCATCTATTAGCGCATACAACAATGTGTTGGTTCTTCTACAGATTTCTTTTATTGGAATGGTTTTGCAAATTGTCTAGGGAAAGAAGTATTGATACTTTATTGTTAGAAAGCTGTCCCACAAGAAATCCCCATAATTTACATCTGAGGCGAAGTGCTGATAATCTTTGCAGGTACACATACAAAGCAAATATCACTTCATATTCGCAATTACGTATTACTCGTTGTCTTTGGGTGCATAAGAAACGATATAACTTGCACCACTTTTCGAATTCTCGAAAAAAGTGTAATCTCCGTCGTGTTTGTTTATATACCTACGCCCTACGTACTCTACTTGCCTACTTGTCTCTCCGTTTGTGGAATAAATCTTGCAATCAGCAATTTAACTTCATTTAACTTGGATAAAGAAAACCTAAACGTAAGCAAATTTTCGAATGAATATTTGCCTCATATGTAATAAATCCCATTTGAGGTGTGCAATTATCGGTCAATTACAGCGGTAATTGCATTGTAGAAAACGAAAGAGCCCTGCGATAATGGCACATTTCATGGGAATTACACTTAACAATTTTATAAGTAGGTAAAGTGAGTTTGTAATGTTTATTCGGGAAATATTCCCCCGAATTACACTCGTGCATCAAAATAAACCTGACTATTCAATTCATCTAACATTTGTCACATTTCAACCAGTGAAATGTCTCGATTTCAAATTGCTGCGCCAATGGGAACGAATTATAGTGATAATTGCACGTGTGGTATTCCAGCGATAATTTCACGTGTGGTATTTCAGCGACAATTCAATGCGATTATTCAATGACATTTGTCAAACTTCCACCAGTGAAATGACGCGAAATTTTGTCGTATTAACCGGAACATTCTTCTTAGTTTGTTAGTCAATTTCGACAACCGACTTATCACCACATCTTTTAATTTAATCACTCATAACGAATTAGCTTGGAGCACAAAAGTTCGAATAGAATCAATAGCAAAATGAAAAGCAACTTCCATAACTTATTTTGACGTTTATTGTTGTCATGGAAATACATTCGCGTGGGTAATTATGCTTAATTTTTCTTTTGATTCATTGAATAGTCCTCCGAATACCATTCGTAGTCGAAGTATTTTGTAGATTATTTTTGAGCTGCTGTTCCACTCATGCTAGTTACGCTTTTTAATACCACTCGCGCAAGCGCTCGTGGTATTAATCAGCGTAACTAGCATTCGTGACAGCACCTCAAAAATATTCGACAAGGACAATACTTCGACTACTTATGGTATTATATATGATAATTTTTAGGGCATTTTGCAACGAAGTTGGGTGCGCTATTGCAGCTACTTTCTCTGTTCGTCCGTCTGTCCGTCTGTCCGAGGCCTTAACTACTCCTACAGTTTTCAAGATATTTAGTTCGTTCTTTTTGCATTCGGTAGCGTATTATATCGCTCTGGCACCTGAGTCAAAGAAAATCTTGACGATAGAACTGCGCAGGCTGCGCAATGTTAACTTTTTTATATATTACTATATTTTGTTGAAATTTTAATCACAGATACTTGTAGTAAAGGCAAATATATCGCATTTAGTAAAAAGCAGATGTGCGCATGCGCAGACTGCGCAATGCAAACTTTCTTATTTATGGAGATATTTCTTTGAAATGTTAACCAAAGATACTTATAGTAAAAGCAAACGTATCGCATATTGCAAATATCGGATTAATAAGCGCATGCGCAGGACGCGCAATATCAACTGCGCAGTAAGTGTCAACTTCCTTATTTATGAAGAATTTTAACCATATATGCGTCTAGTAATGAAAAACGTAGCGCACATAGGTATGGCCTTTGGGGAAGTATTGATCAATTTATGGAAAATGCGTTGAAGTTACTCGCCTTAGGGCGAGAACCTTTTTACTTGTTTATTCATGTATTTATCAGTAAAAAACTGCGTCAGGTTATTTTCATAATTTGTTAAAAGAGCATTTTGATGCACTTGTGCAATTACCTACGAAAATTGTCACAAAGCAAAGTTTTAATAGCGATCCTCGAAATGGTTTATAGTTTTGTATCTATTACTGTCTGCCGGTTTAGTGTGTTGTCACTTCACTCACCGAAACCATGTGTATTGTATGCAAAAAAATCCCCTGAATCCGTAAATGACAATCTAGCTGACCGGAAACTCCGGGACCATATTGTTATACACAAGAAAACGAAGAAAAATGGGAAAACATCGTTTTTTCGCATTTGACTTAATTAGGTATCTCGTTAACTATTCCTCTTACGGAAAAAATGAAGATAACGATTTGTTTAGAATCGATTTTTCTATCAGATACAGTTGGTATGATTTTTATTAAACAGAGTGCCTATTATAAAGTTACTTTCTTGTTCTATTTCTGGGGTTTCCACTAAACTAATTCTAATTCCACAGTCCGTCGATTTGCAAAACTCATCGGGACAACAGACAATTGTTGGAATAGGTTGTTTTACGGTTCCACCATCCATAAAAATATTGAAAACGCTCTGGGAGTCATCCAGTTTGAAAGACAAAGCATCGAGAAGGGCGTATCAACAAAAACAAATGTTAATTTTTAGGATTACTTTTTTGTATTTTTCCAGACAAAACAATAACATTTAAAAATGAACGGTTCTGTAGGTACCAACTGAAAATTCGATTCTAAACAAATTCATTTCTATGAGTTCGAGCAATAGTTGCCGAGATAATTAGAAGTCAAATGCAAAAAAAACTGCATTTTTCCATTTTTTCTTGGTTTTTTGTGTATAGCAATATGTTCCGGGAGCTTCCGGGCAGGGAACTACATAGAATACACTTGGTTTACTAATTTGACAGGACTATGTTGACCCTACACATTGACATAAAATAAAGTACGTTAAGTGCTCCCTCTCCTAATCAAAAAATTTTGTGATGGTATTATCACAGATACATATAGGTAGGCAAGGCCGTGCGAGGGGGAGGGGCGAGGGGGCCCAGGCCCTGCGCGCCAAGTCTGGGGGGCGCTGAAGTCGCCCGTCGTCGCCTTCGTCGGGAGCGTCAAAGGCGTGAGTGAAAGATTTACCTCGAATTATATAAACGAATCCGTACATACTCTTGTTTCGTATTTTATAAATTCAGAATCAGTAAAAATTTAAAAATTAAAAACTGTCCCGTTTATAAAGTCGGTAATTCCATGGAGTTAGGAAATCAAACAAAAGCGCCTGCATTTGCCCTGTTTGATCTCAAATTGCCATGGCACCACTGATTTCTTAAAAGCGCCAGTTTTTAGTTATCCAATTTCTTGGATTCAAAGTTCAGAAAATTAAAAGCTATAGTATGCATGGATTCGTACTTTTTTTCTCTACAAAAAATAGACTTTCTCTCTAAAATAATTAGAGAAGTCAATAATCAGAAATAAAAAAATTACTATTGCAATTCCTATGGTGCGTTGTTCAAGTCACCACCCGGTATAATAATATATTATGGAAAAACAAAAATTATGTTTATTATTCTAATAAAATCTTTCCTTGTCCAACCTCATAATTTTATATGTGGAGGCCAAATTTAGTTTCCGCCCTTGTATAACCAAACCCGCTCCATCAATTTTTTAAATGTTTAGAAAAGAGAAAAATGAAGAATTAAAATATATGCGATTTCATGTAATTTATGATGTTACTAGATCATTTCGCGCGCTATGCGCGCTCACTTGAATCGCAAAACAAAATAATTAGAATAGTTCCGAAGGTATACAACACATTTGATCAATTAAGGGGACGTTAATATGTAGATAAATACCTTTAAAGAACTTTTATTTTTATAATAGTAATATGAGCCATAGCATGGTCCAAGTCCAAAAATTCTGTTTTGAGATAAATTGACCTAAAGTTGTATTAAAAAATCTTGAACAGCAATATGCACCTTTTTTTTGATAATTGTACTTGTGAAAGTCTAAAATCAAAAGTAGTTTGATTTTTCAAAGTTGTTACCTTTTTGCCGTTTATTGTGAATTACATCATTAAGATTTTCAAAACTTGTTAATATACGGTTTGGAATATACCCCAATCTGGATTGTTTGCTTTGTAACAATAAGAAAAAAATGTTATTATTATACTTTTAAAAAATGTTACAATGAAATACAATAAAATTTAAAACATTTGTCAAAATTTATTAGCAAAAATGAAATAGATAACATTCAAATTTAGGTTGAAAAATAAAAATATATTCTGAAACAATAAGAAAACTGACTGTGCATATTCATCTTCAAATTCTTCAAGATCGCAATCTGACTTAATTTTGGAATTCGTTTTCAAAGTCAAAAGATCCCTAAAAAATGAGTGTTGAAATATGATAATTTTGTAACTGTAACTTTTGTACCTGTGAAAGACTTGTATTAAAGGCACCATCATTCAAATTCATTCGAGGTGATTTTTCTACTATTTCTTCACCGTTGTCGTTAGCATCTTGCAGTGGCCTTTTTCGCGGTGTGTGGATTCCACCACGCAATGTTTCTTTGGAGAGAACTTTGTCGTCAATAACCGTAATGTCATTATTATCCGCAACTTGTAGATATATCGAATCATCTGCAATAATTTTGTAATGAATTCTCTTTTCAATATTAAGTTAAAGTTTTACATCTATCTTTTTTTATTTCCCCAATCAATCTTATATGGGCCCCTTCAACTAAGGCCGGATTTTGATGGAAGTGACTTATGCGGACCCTTAGTTTGTATATGCCTTCCATGATGGCACCACTGCCATATGAGCTGTGGCTTGTGGTTTCTGGTTCAAAAGTCACTTTAATATACGCATCTAGACCTAGGAAAGACAAAAATCTTTTAATCAGAACACAATATTGTTGAAGTTCACTTTTCATATTGAATTGAAATATTTTGTGCTTAACATACCTACATATTTTTGTCTCTAATTTTCATAAATAAGCCAAACTGGTATATTGTTCAAAATTAATATTTTATTGTAGCTACATGCCACAATTTACAATCAGATTTTGCTCTTAGAAGTATTCAAACAATTTAAAAAAAAGTACAATTTTAAACATTTAAATTGCATTCCTGCAAAATACAGTTTAATAAAATAAATCATCTTCATCTTACGAATAGGGTTGAGGCGAATACCTATTATAACAGTTGTGAGTTTTACTTACTCAATTTCCCTTCAATAGAAGCACAATCTTTGATTGTGGTTGAGACAACTTTACACATTTCACGTGCTTCTGTTGCATATTTTCCTAAGAAGTCAACTTTTGAATTCTTAGTCAATGAAATCTCAAACGGAATCAAGTTTTCCTCTTTACGGAAGTAGTTTGGATTGACCCGAAGAAAGAGTCCACGTTGGATGTGTATAATCTAAAAATGATTTGTAATTTAAACACTAAATTCTGGAAAAATTGATTAAAAAATATTGAAATTCAATAATGAACATAATCACCTAGGTTTGTCTCTCATTCCCATAATATAGCATGAAGCACACATACCTACTATCACAACCCACTTGATCAGGTAGGTAATTGAACACAATGGGTAAAGAAGAGCAATCAATTGCCCAGTAAAATGAGGGTTTCCAGACAAACAAGCATTGTTATACGTAAAAGGAAACAGTAGAAATAACATTTAGTAAAGATAGCGAGCACCAATTTTGATTTATTGAATTTGTCAATTTTAATTTGTAACTTTGACTGTCTGGTAAAGTAAAATGTGCTTTCGTATTTGGATTTTTATTGAAAACTGCAAATTATTTAAGAGAAGAGCAAGCTGTGGGTTTTGTATAGTACAGCACCTACCTTTATTGACAAAGACCTCGAAATTTTGTTTTAGTCCATACCCGAGTCCATACCTACCTAACTAATTTTATGAAAATTACACATAAAAGTTGTATTAGTCTTCTGCAATAGTTCATAGTGCCATCTAGTACGTGTGCATAAAGGACACTCAAAAAGATGCCATATTTGATTCAGATTTGGGGCATCAACAATCAAAAATGCGATTATATATAGGCGTTCTTACTGATAATGTTATTTCTACTGTGAACAGGTGATCAAAAATTAAACTGCGGTAGGCTGGTTATTTGTTCTATCTCAACATTTCATATAAATTATAATTCGACAATATCACTTCCACAGCGCATTTCAAACAAGATAGTTGCTTATCATTTGTATGCATATAATTTATAAATTTACCTGGTGGATCGAAAGTTTATTTTCATAACTTTTCGCATTCTCTTCCCACGCTAAGACTCTTATTCTTCTGCCAGTGCCATTGTTTATAATAAACTTCAAAAGAGCTTTATTTTTGCTCACATATTTTATTCCCTCAATGGAATCCACATAGGCTATTATTTCCCTGTAAAATTCAATAGGTAAAAGATATTCTGTATGTCGTCTATGTACGTTGTACTTACATTGTATTATCACCCACATCTACTGCGTCAATCTCCTCATTTGTTGTCATGGGGATGGCTGTTGACTCAGCCATTTTCCTGAGTCTCGTTTTCTGAAATTTATTAATACATAGATAGTGTTAAATATTATTTGAAAAAAATTGTAGTTTAACATTTGTTTCAAGTTTTAATAACATCTTGTATAAATTTGTAAGTAGGTGCTACCTAGTCGATGAAGATTCAAATTCATTTTTGTACCTTTTATATCAAAAGTTATCTAATCATATTTTTCAATTCATATACAGGGTGGTGACTTGCGTAACGCATCATAGGGATTTCAATGTAAAATTCATAACATGCGATAATTGGCTCCCCAAATTATTTTAGAGCAAAACTGTATTAAGGTTTTTGTAGAAAATTTTTTTTTACGTCAATCAATCGTATTACTTTTCAATTTTTTGAATAATAAAGACGGAAAATTGGAAAATAAAACCCCCATCTTTTTCAATAATCTGTGATACCATGGAATTGTATAATACAAAAACTACGCCAATATCCGTCATGCCATGGAATGTCTGCTATAAAACAAATCAAATTCTATCAAAAAGTTTAGAAGTTTAGATTAGAACAGCGAATTCAGCATAAAGAAAGACCAAGTTACTAAAAACGGTTCCCTAATATAACAATTTACAATAAATGTTCGAATAAGTCACCATTAACACCAAGACTGTAACCAATAATAATAATAATAATAATAATAATAATAATAACAATATAATAATATATTTATTTTATTTTTTATTTTTCTTTAGAACCCTACATAACTTCACCAGACACAGACACTAATCGTTACTTGATTTTAATCCGTGCGATTAGTTAACCAGGCTAGACCTGAGTTCTCACAAGAAACACCAACCATAATAATATTTATTGAAAAAGATGCGGGTTTTATTTTTCCAATTTTCCGTCTATATATGAAAAAAATTGAAAACTAATACGGTTGATTGGCGCAAAAAATGTTTTTCTACAAAAATCTTTAATACATTTTTTCTCTAAAATAATTTGGGGAACCAATAATCGCATGTTATGAATTTTACATTGAAATCCCTATGATGCGTTACGCCAGTCACCACCCTGTATATTTTTCTTAGTTTTCTTTATGTCTACAAATTGCTTACAATTATTTTTTCATATTTACTTTAGCTCTCAATAGAATTTTTCATTCATCATTCCTACAAATTGCAATGCAATTTTTATTTATATAATTCTTTAAAAACATAATTTTTAACCACATTACTTTTTCGCTGACTTCCTAAATAAATCTTTAAACTTTCCCAAGACCGAACTCTAGAGAGAGCAACATATAATTGACCATGAGTAAATACATCTTTTCTAAGATCAATCCCTATTTGATCAAATGTTTGACCTTGTGATTTGTTTATAGTCATAGCAAAGGCTATCTTAATAGGAAATTGTCTTCTTTTAAAAGTAAAGGGGTACACATTTTCACAATATAATGTTATACGATGTATAAAAACAATATCTCCAGATTTATCTCCTGTGAATATCTTACACTTTATGACATTGTCTCCCAACTCTAAAACTGATAGCCTCGTGCCATTACATAATCCTTCGTTGACGTTGAGATTCCTTATCAGCATCACAATACAATTTTTCCTTAATTTTAGTTCGTGAGGAGAAAAATTAGGTGGGTTTAACGTATTTAAATATTCAGGTAAAATTCCTTCGTTAATATCTCCATTATCACAACCTTCAACACTATCCATGCTTGTATATATTTTTTCATTACTTACATCTAGTAATTCCACGACTTTATTATTAATTTCTTCTACATCAACATTTCTTGCTGAAAGAATAGCTGATTTAGTTAGATCTGCAAATCGTTTTTCTCTGATCATTGTACCAAATGTATTTTCAACGATATCAAAATTATAAATACATTTTGGTGGCAATTCCAAGTTACAATCTTTATCATTTAAATACCCATCCCCAACATCAAGTAAAAATTTAGAAAATTCTTGTTCATTGGGTAGAGCTCGCATATTTTCTGTTAGGGAAAATTGACGGAAATATTGCCAAAGGGGACTACATTTAATACTTAAGTTCACAATTTCAGAGCGAGTAGCATTTACTTTGACGGGTAATAGCTGTCTAAAATCCCCTCCTAACACCATTATTTTCCCACCAAAAGGCACATTGCAGTCAGTAATATCTCTCAAAGTTCTATCTATTACATCTAATGCGTACCTTGGTGCTACCGGAGCTTCGTCCCATATAAAAACATCAACATCCTTGAGATATTCTGCTTGCTTTGAATTATTCTTGATGCTTGTAGTTGAATCACAAAATAAAGGAACAGGTAAACCAAATGTCTTATGTACTGTTCTGCCTTTAGGGAGCAAAGTTGCTGCTATGCCTGTGTACGCCATTGTGCAAATATTTTTATTCTTTTTCTTCAGTAAACTGTACAGAGTTGTATAAACGTATGTTTTACCAGAGCCTCCTGGACCATCAATATAAAAACATGGAGGTTCAGAAACAATTGATTCATTTATGTCATCATCACATTGATCCAAAATAATATCAACAATTTGTTTCTGCTTTTCATTCAGATGTTCATATTGTCGTGATGCTGCTTCTATTGCTTGTTCATCATTTGAAACATCATCTGCATATTCAGTGTCATTTACTTGTTGCATGGAAGGATACATTGAAATGTTATAACCCTCTGCAGAAAGCATGGAACTAATTTGAATGTAGGCTTTTTGTTGTCCTTCAATACTGCCGTAACGTCTTTCATAGTCTTGTGACATTGCTTCTTTAAATTCTTCCCATAACTCTTCCGGATGAACTGGTTGGCAGTGCATTAAAATACGAGCAAATAAACATCTTAACTGTTTTGGCATCATCCAAATTTCAGCCTCATTCATAGCCCTTTTCCATTCATGATCATCTTCAATAAGTCCCAATATTACGCATGTTGTTACGTAAGAATCTTGTACCTCTCGATTTATTGTTTTAAGATCTTCAAAGCTCTTAGCTCCTTTCCTATGTAGTAATAATAATCGTAAATGGAATAGTTCAACTTGACTGGGGCTTACAGAGTACATGCGTCCAATAACACTGAATTGTTTCTGACGTCGTTGCCAATTATATTCACCAGTAACATCTTTTTTAAATACATAATGACTTGGTATGTCTCCATATAAATGCTGTGAAGCTTGAGAATCTCGCGCATTCAACGCAAAATAATCAATCAGCATTGTTTGTTTCTCTAAAGCATTTCTTATTTCATTTTCATCACAATCATCTCTGACTACAACATTCTGTTGATTTGGTAAATGCACTGGTAATCTTGTAATTGAATGACTTTTCCCTTGTAAAGGTATACCTATAATTCTCCAAGCAGCTTCCACTGGTCCAACATACCTCGTTTCGATGAAATCACGAATTTCATCGTGATCAATAATTCCATTGTTTGTTTCGCCAATAGTTATTCCTGCAGCATCGTGACCTTTGTATATGTATTTATATAAATATTTAACAGATTTTACACTGGACACCACTTCAACATTAATGTGAGCATTGAATAATTTTAACAAAGTTGAATTATATGGCACAACATACTGATTATTAAATATATATCCGTCAAAGCGTTTGAAAGAAAGTCCAGTATTTCTACGACGATAACTGGGATAACCGTATTCGTCTAAAGTTGTCCGTTCATTAAAATGCTTTGGAAAATGTTTAGAACAGGCGTTCTGCTCTGTTAAACACCAATTTCCACATGGACCGTGTATCATATTTCTTGAAACAATATCGTATAATATTGGTTGTTCTTCAGGTTTTGGGATTTCCGCAGTTATATATCGATCAACTACTTCGGGAGTTGTTATTTTTTCAGATTGCTTTAAGCTTACTAACATGTGCATATGTGGTAACCCGCGTTTTTGAAACTCAATCACATAAACATACGCTTGTACAGCTCCAAAAAAACCTTTATTTACAATTAAATCTATTAAGGTTTTGTGTTTTATATTGAATACTCTTGCCACTACATCAGGTCTATCAGCAGCAGTTTGTCCATCCATCAAATTCTCTCTGATCTCTTTCCACTTGGGGTTACAAGTCATTGTAATGAAAAGATCTGGTTTGCCATATTTACGTACAATTGCCATGGCATCTTGATAATTTTGCAACATATTTCGAGGAGATCCTTGAAATGTTGATGGTAAAATTACCATTTTTCCAATACTTTGGTGATTACGTTGAGATCTCTTTTCTAAATGATCTATCAAACCTTGGTAAGATTCCGCCCGTAATTTCTTTTGATTGTCTTTACAAAACTGTATTCTATCTTTTTCAATTTTCACATAACTATCAACTAACCATTGCTGAAATAATCGACGTCCCATTAAGAATGGATTAAATTCATCACGAACTGCCATTCTATATTTCGTATACATAGCTCGACTGACTCGTCTATTTTTCTTAGTACAAGATATTGCCGAATGCCAGCCGCGAGTACCATATGGATAAAACAAAGGATAAATCCATGGCTCCACATTAGCATCCATAGTACTAACATATTGTAAAGATTTATCACTTTTATTTCTTACTGTTACATAGGACTCTGGAATATCACCATCAGCTGTTGTGGAAAAAACTGCAGCGACTTCATTAACCCTTTGGAAATTGTAACGATTCTTATCCATACCAGGCTTCAATGTAAATAAAAGATGTAATTCAGATTCGTCATTTACAATATTGCAATTTGACCTCTGATTTTCCAGCTCCTCAGCCATCATTTGGTATGACTGAGCGTACACATTATGTTCACGCATAACATTCTCAATTAATTTCACAATTTCTGAATCACACTTTGAATTACAACTTAAACGAAATTCTACTGCCTCATCACTGTCAACAATAAAAAGCTGACCATAACTTGGGGCCTCATTAGAAGATGGGTAAAGTGCTGTATTTATCTGATAATATATTTGTCCCTGTATTTTAAAACAAAATGGACCTTTACGTGTCGAATTGAAATGCACAAGATTAGCATTAAATGATGCAAATGCAAATGAGCTGTTATAGCTTCGAATGTGTTCAAAAAAATTTTTGGACTTTAGATGAGAACCGTTGAATAATGATTGTAAAATTGTAGGAAATACAGGTAAAGGTTGTAATAATACTTCACCGTGATTACAACATTCATTGAATGAATTACCTTTATTAGCAACTCTTTCAGAGGGAAAATGTTTTGCACTACAATGCATACAGGTAACAGACATAGCACCAATATAATGTTCGAGTATTTCATTACCGAGCTCATTATCTATTGCAAGTAAAGAAGTATCAATATAACCTTTTTGTCTTGATCGATAATTCATTTGACAGTGTTTCGGCAAAATGCTGTTACGTATGTTAACTTGAATCTCGTCATGAACTCTAGATCTAATCTCGGAATGAGAGGTTTGTTTGCTAGTTCGCATAGTTTCTCTCCGTTGGCGTTCTGCTTCAGTCCTCTTTTTTCGCCTAAGTTTAATTAACTCCACTTCTTCCTCAGAACTCAACTCAACCTTTCTCCGAGGCATAATGATAAACTACTAATAATGTAATGATACAGAATATTTAGAGCCAATTTCACAAAATACACAGAAATGAACGATTCAAATTAACCACTACTAAATGTTCAGTTCAGTAAGTACGTCTTAATCTTAATTTTATAGAATCTCAAAGAATCTGAAAAGAATCTATATGGTCGCAATAATCTGGGTTTCTATTAAATGATTCTAATTCTTAGTCTTAAATTTTCTGTGGGATCTCAGTCTAATTTTCTATAGAAATTACAAAATTTGTGCGTACTCACCTGTTCTCCTCGAGTTACAAGTCTTTGTTAATTGTTATAGGTTATAGCTGGAACAAAATATGATAAGATGCAAGACTTTTAAAGTTAGACTCACCTCCTCAGCCGCAAAAACAAAACACAAAGGCAAAGTAACAAAATTTTTACCAATTTAACTGAAACTGATACCTGACTACCAACTACCACATGAGTAAACTTTAGTGAACACATGGAGTGAACAGGAAACGGGCAAAATTGACATTAAAGCGCTTGCGCGTTGCTGAGGGAGTCACGGTGCACAAAACAACTGACCGAAACAGAACATCTGCGGAGCACGACAGAATCGTACGATCATATACTTATTTCTGTTATTTTGCTGCAAAAAGTTTCAAATGGACACACGTTACTGATTCTGCATTTTATGTTCGGAATCACAGAATATATTGTTAAGCTGCAAAACGTTTAAAATGGCCAGATAAATGTGTGTTTTCGCCCGCTACTGATCTTAATTTCTTCTACATACCACATACGTATAGGCAACCCAAAAGGCATAACTTGCCACAACCTTGAACTATTCATCTCAATTTTATGTTTTGGAACAGGGACAGATCAAAGGATTTCAATGTTATCATATACAGTGCATGTATGGAATGTACACCCTGTATATTTAATTTCTAAAACTACTTTATAAAATAATCACATTTAGGAGGATCAATAAACAGCAGGAAATTTCATGAGTAATCTACATCTATGTACAATTATTCGCATTGGTTTTCCCTTAACAGTCTACATTGGACACCCTGTATACAACAGGCCCTTTTGAACGAAAAGGCCCATAGCACTCTTCCCGAAAGATTTCAAAATATGGTATACGATCGGATTCTTCTGTTACAAATATGAAGGTTGCTCTGAAAATCACCCAGAGCAGCCTAAAAAGCTGTCTAGCACTTTTCTCTGCCTTCTAGAACCCTGGACTGGAGCAAGAAAGCTCAGGAGGACAGCCCAATCTGCTCGAGAGCTGCAAAGGTTCGGGAAAACGTTTAGGTTTTATTAAAGCTGTTCCTGACATACACTTTTGCCTATACCAGGCCCCATACACCGCAATCTTGTCTCACCTGAGGTTTTATAGTCGTGTTCGTACTGGCTGGAATGGGACAGTTATCGAAAGTGTTGTTGGTAACGTTGGTAACCATCGCCGTGTGATTTACCATCGCCACAATAGCCACGGATAAGTTCACCCGCATCGCGTAGACGTTCGCGAAACCTAAAAAGCCGAGAATGCCGAGGACGTGTCTGGCCTTTAAGATTCGTTTGGTGTCCTCGACTAAAACAACGACAATTAATTACTCGGACCGAAGTTTCCGGCTCTTACTTTGCGGCGGTATGATTTTGGTGAGGTCATCTTCGTCCTCTTCCACGACACTATCCTCTTCACTCTCACTGTCACTTTCCAAGACGTTGATGGAGGGTTCGTGCGGTAAAACCATTTTTGATTAAATACTTATGAACTGTTCAGCTGTGAATCATAACTGAAAAGATCAATGGAAACGAATAAAATTCTTTTGTGCACGAAGTGAAAGCTAGAATGTAATTGAGGTTATAAAAACGTTTTAAAGGGGTGTAATTTTAGTACGTAATAAGCGATAAGTAATAAATAATTGTATGGAAAATTAGTCAACACCGAATTATCTGTTATCAGCTGACTGCGTTCCATAAGATTTTATTTGTTATGATTTTTAAATGTGATTCATGTTTTGCTATGACGTAATGAATGAATGCGCTGTTGTCACGTTTCATACCATATTTTACTATACAGGGTGTCCAACGAAAAGCCGATTGTTAATGAAGATCAAATACTTGACTTGTAGGCTTCAAGTGAGTACAAAACAAGTTTTGGGAACAATGGGTAAGGTAAGCAGGTACCAAGATTCTGAGAAAGGGTGAAATACACAGGATGTGACTCATCTTTGGTGCAATAAAATCCTTCTGTTAAAAGCAAGGTGGAAAATTACATGGCCTAGTAGGACGAATTCAATGTTACCACAAAATATGTGGAAATCAGTAAATCGCAACTCATAGATTCTAAACCGAAGTTACATAATCTTGTCCCCAAGATATGTAACTCGCCCCTAGTTTAGGGGTTTCAAGCCTATACAGTTGAATGTCGTAAACAATCACGGAATTCTCATTTGATTACAGTTTTTTGCCACCCCCGTGACTGCTTCATTTACGGCGAAAATGTTAGTTACAAACAAGTCAGTACATACATCAAACGAATCGGTAATTCTCACATATTGCAAGAATGAGCAAAGTCTATATGAATATTAGTTCTTGTCAAGACCATGTAATCAAAACATAAAAGATTGACACACACACAAAATATAAAATGCTGCAAAACACAAATACATTATAAAGAAATGCAAAGATTACTACCTGCATTAAATAACACAAAAAAACAACAAACACTTACGGAGCGAAGCGTTCGCGACCGCGGTTAAAAACAAAATGCCAAACGTAACCAACGTTCGTGCTCTCCAGATGACGCAGACAGCTATATCCCATCTTAAAAGTTGCGCGGATGCCAACTCTCAAAATTGTGTGCATTGTCGTAAGTTGTATATACAGGGTGGAACCTCTCACATGTTAAATTACGTTCCTTTTTATCATTAATTACAATTGTTTACCCTTCAATTCGTGCAAGACTTCTTTATTTATTTAACCACAGGTCTCATAACAAATTGTAAATTTTTGACTTTTAAAGTCCTCAAAGACCTCACGACAGAAACCGACATTTTGAAACCTTGAAAGCCTTTAAAATCCAACAATGATAATAAAAAAAATTGATGAAGGCCATTGGAAACTCCTGAAGACCCTTGAAACCTTAAAACAGTTTACAGAACTCCAAGGCTTTTATAAACGAATTAAAGCCCTTTTTTTTCCAAAAATCGACTGCACCAAAATTTCTCGGCAAAACACTTTTTCTTATTAATTTTGGTGCGTAGAATCCAAAACAATTCGTACTTTTTCGATCAGACTTCTCAATCAAAAGTTATAGACTAGAAACCAATTTCGAAAGAAAATTCAAAGGGCTGTAACTTTTGAACTAGTAGCCCAATCTTGGAACTGTTTGAAATTATGGATTCTACAGGCCACATTCTATAAGAAAATTTTTTTTCCGGGTCGATCTGAGACAATTTTTTTTTCGGGCTCAAAAAAAGGCAGTGTATAACCTTCCTTTTTTACCAAAAATCGACTACACCAAAATTTCTCGGGAAAACACTTTTTCTTATTAATTTTGGTGCGTAGAATCCAAGACAATTCGTACTTTTTCGATCAGACTTCTCAATCAAAAGTTATAGACTAGAAACCAATTTCGAAAGAAAATTCAAAGGGCTGTAACTTTTGAACTAGTAGCCCAATCTTGGAACTGTTTGAAATTATGGATTCTACAGGCCACATTCTATAAGAAAATTTTTTTTCCGGGTCGATCTGAGACAATTTTTTTTTCGGGGCTCAAAAAAAGGCAGTGTATAACCTTCCTTTTTTACCAAAAATCGACTACACCAAAATTTCTCGGGAAAACACTTTTTCTTATTAATTTTGGTGCGTAGAATCCAAAACAATTCGTACTTTTTCGATCAGACTTCTCAATCAAAAGTTATGGACTAGAAACCAATTTCGAAAAAAATTCAAAGGGCTGTAACTTTTGAACTAGTAGCCCAATCTTGGAACTGTTTGAAATTATGGATTCTACAGGCCACATTCTATAAGAAAATTTTATTTCCGGGTCGATCTGAGACAATTTTTTTTTTCGGGGCACAAAAAAGGCAGTGTATAACCTTCCTTTTTTACAAAAATCGACTACACCAAAATTTCTCGGGAAAACACTGTTTCTTATTAATTTTGGTGCGTAGAATCCAAAACAATTCGTACTTTTTCGATTAGACTTCTCAATCAAAAGTTATAGACCAATTTCGAAAAAAAAATCAAAGGGCTGTAACTTTTGAACTAGTAGCCCAATCTTGGAACTGTTTGAAATTATGGATTCTACAGGCCACATTCTATAAGAAAATTTTTTTTTCCGGGTCGATCTGAGACAATTTTTTTTCGGGGCTCAAAAAAAGGCAGTGTATAACCTTCCTTTTTTACCAAAAATCGACTACACCAAAATTTCTCGGGGAAACACTTTTTCTTATTAATTTGGGTGCGTAGAATCCAAATCAATTTGTACTTTTTCGATCAGACTTCTCAATCAAAAGTTATAGACTAGAAAACAATTTTGAAAAAAAATTCAAAGGGCTGTAACTTTTGAACTAGTAGCCCAATCTTGGAACTGTTTGAAATTATGGATTCTACAGGCCACATTTTATAAGAAAATTTTTTTTCCGGATCGATCTGAGACAATTTTTTTTTTCGGGGCCCAAAAAAAGGCAGTTATTACCTTCCTTTTTTACCAAAAATCGACTGCACCAAAATTTCTCGGGAAAACACTTTTTCTTATTAATTTTGGTGCGTAGAATCCAATACAATTCGTACTTTTTCGATCAGACTTCTCAATCAAAAGTTATAGACTAGAAACCAATTTCGAAAGAAAATTCAAAGGGCTGTAACTTTTGAACTAGTAGCTCAATCTTGGAACTGTTTGAAATTATGGATTCTACAGGCCACATTCTATAAGAAAATTTTTTTTCCGGGTCGATCTGAGACAATTTTTTTTTCGGGGCTCAAAAAAAAGCAGTGTATAACCTCCCTTTTTTACCAAAATTCGACTACACCAAAATTTCTCGGGAAAACACTTTTTCTTATTAATTTTGGTGCGTAGAATCCAAATCAATTCGTACTTTTTCGATCAGACATCTTAATCAAAAGTTATAGACTAGAAGCCAATTTCAAAAAAAAATTCAAAGGGCTGTAACTTTTGAACTAGTAGCCCAATCTTGGAAATGTTTGAAATTATGGATTCTACAGGCCACATTCTATAAGAAAATTTTTTTCTGGGTCGATCTGAGACAATTTCTTTTTCGGGGCTCAAAAAAAGGCAGTGTATAACCTTCCTTTTTTACCAAAAATCGACTACACCAAAATTTTTTAGGAAAAGACTTTTTCTTATTAATTTGGCTGCGTAGAATCCAAATCAATTCGTACTTTTTCGATCAGACTTCTTAATCAAAAGTTATAGACTAGAAACCAATTTCGAAAAAAAATTCAAAGGGCTCTAGCTAGGGAATGCAATACCGGGATCGCGGGATCCCGAAATACCGGGATCCCGCACATAAATGGAGCGGGATCCCGCGGGATTAGCGGGACTGAGGAACGACTTTGTTTGCCTTGTTAATGAAACGCATAACGGAGAAATTGTTTTTAAAATAATTGTTAAACTTTTTTCGTTAAAAATGTACTATGATTTTTGAGGCGCTTTAGAAGTTCGCCTTTTTGTGCTTTACAGGTGAGGTTTTTTTGAGTTCTAAGTTAGGCTGAAGGTACTTTTTTGTTGAATATTGTGATAATTAGCGATTTATTTTAATACAGAACTTAACTGCACAAAATTGCTTATTTGCCAATTTATTTAAAATTTTGCGGGATCCCGCAAATACCGGGATCCCGCGGGATTAACATCTAAGGATCCCGCAAATACCGGGATTGAGATTTTGCTGCGGGATTGCATTCCACGTTAAGTGCTTCGTATTTTCGGCTATGCGTTGTCTCTCAGTAACGGAAGACTTTTGTATATGCACTGATGGCTAACTTGCTTATAAAAAGAAAAAAATGAAGTATGATGTGCAAATATTTTATATCGCAGATATTACCCCCTATCGAAGTTCGTTTCATTTGAATTTGTGTTTCAGTGTCTGTTTTCCCTTTTAGAAGTTAAAAGTTGATTAATTTCAAGGAAATAATAATCTGGTAATGTGGTCGAAGATGGAGGTGTCACGAATACGTGCGTATTTTCGGCGTAAGTGGGGACGAGAGATCCGTTCTTCCCAAGCTAGTGTGATTCAAGTATAATTTTGTCTCTAAAATTCTGTTAAAGAAAAAGATTATGGTATAGTGGAAGTGGTGGTTCTTTAAATATTGGAATCAACAGAAAAATCAAACGGGTTATCGCAACGGTTGACGAGTGTATTGTCTGCGCTAAATTCTCGGACGGTCAGCCCTATTTGCTTTGTTGAAGACTCCATTATTAGAAGGAAAAATGTTAAATATAAGAGGTATGAAACAATGAAACAATTGCGTTTCCCAAATTTAGTGTTTGTGAGCATTTGACTGGAAATTCGAGTGTAAGACTGGAATTTGGGATTATTGCAATTACAAGATAATTAAGACTCTACTAAATATATTTTTTTAATAAATTACAGCTTTATTAAGGTTATGGATTTACAGAGTAATAAATTAACATTTTATAAAATTTTTTTTTACTTGATCAGTTTCGATCGAGCGCTTGTAGCGTGGTATGTGTTGCTGGCACTGTTGCCACTTTTTACTACAGAAATTATTGAAGAAATTTGCGCTGTGTTTAAATGAATAGCGTGAATCAAAATTACGATCCTGGAACTTAAGGGTTTCATGTGAGTGCGTTTATTTGTTTTTAGCTAGCTAGATATGTGTTTTGTGGGTGGCTTAATGACCGCAAGCCATTGCCCATAGCAAACCTTTAACAAAATTTCACTTTCAAGAGATTCATTAATAAACAAGCGTGGTGAAGGAAGTGCGATTGCTTGGTCTTATTTATGGTTAGCTGAACGTTGCTGATAAGCTGCAATTCACATTAGAAAACGAAGTTCGTCAAATCCCAAAAGGCTACTAATTAGCAATGTTTGATGTGCTATTCCCTAAATGTCCTTTGTTGCAGAATTTATGGTTTATTTAATTATGGACGAACAGACGTTTCGCTCCAAATTTCTATTGTCCCGTTATTGCGTATGATAAATAGGGCCAGATTCTGTATGTATTAAAATTCCCGGGTTCGCTTAGTTATCATGGATTGCTGTTTTATTGTATTCTAAGTAAAAATGTTCTAATACGTTGGTAGGAGAGGATTCTAATCTAACAGGTTAATAAAAAAATCAAAACATTTTTAAAATTTTGCGAATTGCTTACTTTCTGAAAACAACCCCATGACGTAATGACGTTTAAGCATGCGGAATCCGTGTTGACCATAAAACTGTGGCAGTCGTTGAATACCGCAAGAAATGATGACTGATCAAACAGCGGTGTTATTGCGATTGTATCAACTCGTACGGACACGCTATGTATTTTATAGATGATACTAAAATGGATATGCAAACCGCAATCGAATATAAAATCTTTCCGCAAAAAGACCTATTAAACTAAACTCGAGCTGTAATCGCGAATACGAGGCGTTTCAATAAACGTTTCATTCATTCAGATTTCAAAGCTTTCCTCGGAACATTTTCAATTTATTTAAAATGCAAAAGCTGTCTTGATACACGTTTTTGAGTCTCGAACGCATAGAGCTCGTTTGATACCGAACCCTCTGGGACCTTGGCGGAAACAGTTTATTAGTCGAGATCGATCGAGATAAATACTTCATCGTCTGCTTAAGGCAGTCAAATTAACCGGAACAAGTACAATGAGCTTTGTTCTAATGAACTCGACAAACAGGATACTTGTCGGGCCTTTCATGGCGAAGAAAGTAGTACAAGTGGCGGTTGAAATACGCTGCGAAGCGAGGCTTTTAAGCTAAAGGCCGCTATTGATTCCACATGAAACCGCTTCCGTTTCGGGGTTTGGGTTAAGTAGTCGTCATTTATCTGTACACCTACGCGACTCGCCGATCTTTCTTTCATGTTTAATTCTCCTTTCGTCTCCTTAATAAACGACATTGTCTTGCGTCGTTGGTTACGGCATCTTCTTAAGAAGGGGCGCCATGCAAACAATGCCGGATAGGTAATTTATCATTAAGCGGTGGAAGTGGATAATGAAGATTTACAATATCGTGCATAATTAAATTTATATCCGTCATTAAGAGTAATGGCCACTTCTAATTAGACTAATAATTATTTATAATCTAATATGGAGGACTCAAATGAAAAAAATGATCACGAAAGTGAAATCGACAAACGCAAAGGTATATTTACATGCTTTGAAAAAGCATAAATCACAGATGAAAGTGTATCTAGTTTTGTCTCCGTATAAAAACGCAAACACACGATTTTGATTATGTTCCCTGAGAGGGGTCCCCAGTTCTTAAATCCTTCTTGATCTTGGTGAATCTTGTGCTCCCTGGCTTGCACAACTTCTATGTGATGCGAGTGTATGAATATCATGTCCCTTGCGGCCATTTGCAGATGAAGATGTATAGAATAAGGTCACGCTGTCAATGCAACGTAACCACAAAGGCGCACACAAAGAAATGCTGCGTCCTCATCTCGTGATGAAAAATGAACTACTTCTTTCTTTGGCGACACACAATTACGGTTACACGGTTTTAAAACGTGACTTTATGTTCACACTAAAAATAATCTAAACTTCGAAACTCGTAACTTGTCTCCCGAATACGCTATTATACGAAAGCAGCGGCAACTTCATTCCGTACATTTTAAACTAATACGGAATTAATGCAGGAAAGTTGCTTAGATGTTTACAGTAAGCCGCGACGGATTCGTCGGCTTGCCGGTAGCGCTTCATTAATATTAATTCGGTTGGTACTTACCGGTTATGGTTAAATTGACGGTTAGTGAATTTCTAAGGGTGTCTAGTCGACGTAGAGTCTCTTTGTTCGGTGACACGCAACGATATTCGCCGGCCTCCTGGTAGAGAACTTGATCGATTCTTAACTCCTGCGAGGATCCCAGCGGTTCCAAGCGACCGCTGCCCGGCTCCAGCCTGGACCAGCAACCCGATGTACCTTAAAAACAAAAAAAAAACTGATTGAATGTGGTACATTGAATAGGGGAAACGGATTCTGCCTGATGCTCAGAAAACAAAAGATTAAAACTGGTCAGCATTTACCACAATTTGCTGCGAAAGTGGCTACTAATCCGCATATAAGTTTGAAACTGTGAAAAAAGTTCGTGTCCATGACCACTGCCACTTTAGGACTATCTATTGAGGAATTAGGCAGCGATGTTATAATTTTGATGGCATGGCCAACTGGGCCGTACTGAGCCAGTAGACATCGAGGAAATAATTACTAATTTAAATCCTTCAGCTCTTAAAGGACTAACAGGATTTAAAAACCATATATAGGCCTCTAGGAGACTATTATCGATTATGGACGACTGTTACGTAAAAGTTTGAGAAACCTATGCCCTTAAAGACATTTAAATAATACCAAAGAATCATAGGCGTGCCTTAAGGGATCTTATGCATTTCTTATCCACCAATATCCTTAAAGAATCATAATAGCTCTTGGCCATCCTTTAGAGGTTAGTATATCAAATGTTATTAAAGAATAAGTTCTTAAAGGTCCTTAAAAGTCTCTAAATCCTCTTTGAAAACCTTTGTACTCTTAACGACTAACAAAAATAAATTAGTTACATAAAGGTCAGCAAAATGGCACATTACTGGCGAGGAAATATTGAAGTATCCTTTGGGTCCGAGTACTTTAATTTGTGAGTCATTTTACTGACAAGTTCTACCCAAAATCGTATTTGATACAAAATTTTAATTTTTTTGTCAGTGATGATAGGAGGACATTTAGCCATGTCACAGGTGCGAGCGGTAAAGTGACAGGCGACAGGAAACGTACTCTGGTCTGCCGCTGTCATGGAAATTAAATTTTCTGACATGAAGTGGGCATGAAAACAATTTTGGGTAAATACGTTTAACTGCCACGTTAATGAAAGTTGCTCCTTTAAATGTTTTTCAAACCCTCGAAAGGACTGGCTATTCAAAACTTGTCCCTTGCAAAGAGGAGAGAATCTTAGTGAAGAATATTTGCTTCAGGGCCTAAATGATTTTTAAAGATCCAGGCTTAAGAACCATAAGGCTCTCAAAGGTCCTTCAAACCTTTTTTTTAAAGCAGGTCTCAAGTGTTTTAAATGATAACATTTCTAGATTACCTCTAAAAACCCGAAGAACGAATACAGAAGTGGCACAGTTTAGTAAACATGCAAAATCTAAATACAGAGACGGCACTGGGGCGCTATTCTTGAACTCACTCGAATTGGTTCGTATTCGTTTTAAAACGATGTATGCAAATTCGCATACGACTATCATTTGCTATTCATGTGTACCCTTCGTAACGCTTGTAATTTCAATTCGAATGATATGTTTGGCAACGTAGAATTTGGTAGTAGTAAATACCTTCATACGAAAGGTTTCCTTGACAACAGTTTGTATACACAACTGCTTTCTCATAACTGAGCAAATTACAAAAAGTGCTTATGGGCCCCACAGACTTCCGACTTCTTCGTCCGATTTGCACGACGTGTACATCGGATGGTATGGCACCTATATCGAACAAGTATGACAGACTCCACACACCTCGTGTTTGTTCGATTTACAGGTCGTGCAAATCAGACGAACAAGTCGGAAGTCTGTGGGGCCCTTAACAGTGGGTTGAAAACAGTGAACTCGAGTGTGTTTTTAGAGTTCAATGGTTGGGAAACAGCTAAATAACGTGGAACTTGTAACATCTAATTTGGTAACTGCCGATTCCAAAAAATCGTACAGCAACCAAAACCCTTGCCAAAACCTTCACAAGAATGACTATGTGTATGTAGCTGTAAGGCCAGACAGACCGAGAGACTTGTCTTAAGACGTGCATGTGAGAGGTTCAGCTACAGATGGACTTTGTTGCAGGCGTAATTCGTTAACGCACGTGCAATGTGCATGTCTTAAGACAAATCTCTCGATGTGTTGTTTCGTTAAATGAAACATGTCATCACTCAGTTCCTCAAATAGATTTTTAAACACATTCTGAATACGGTGAACAAGTTACGTCAAAGTAAAAAAAATGGCACATGTCATAAATTCGACTGGTTTATACCGCTCGTTGTAAAAACGAGTGACAATTACGAATTCGAAATATTTTCGAACGGTCAAGAATACCATTCGACCAAAGTTCATCGTTTTGGTTCAAAAAACGAACAACCTTGATAAATACGTAGGGTCAAGAATAGGACCCTGTAACCGTGTTATGTGAAGGATCGTTTAACATTGTAAGGAAAATTGTTTGTTTCAATTATCTATAAAGGCCAAACTAGAAGGAAATTAGAACGTAAAGTTTAAAAACGAGGTTATTAAATGCAATATTTCAGATGTAAATAGAGTAAATTTATATTTATGCTGCCATAACGTATGTATAATTAGAGATGAGGTAAATGAAGCGGGTCTTGTGTAATAAACAGAGCTTGGAGAGCGAGTTAAATGTGTCTGTCGCATCCGAATGTTGAAAGCCTATAATTATTTATTTGGTTCAACTATTATTAGAGTGACCCGGCATTATAATTTTAGAGGCACCCCTGCAGAAAGGTCTTAATTTTCTTTACCACTACTGCGGTATTTTAATTCGAAATAGCCGGCAGAATGCCTCGAAACTGAAATCTAACGAAATCCCCATCTTGTCACAGACGAAAACATTCCTCACCTCTGCGTCTGCCAGGTTTCACACCGACCTCCGATATATATTATTAACATAGCGCGGAGTAGGAATTATACCGGTCATCGATTGTATTGATAAAGCGCTTATCGGGTCAGAATGTACAAAGGCATACCTATAAATATGTGAGTGTAAAAATAGTGGGGGAAAAACCTGCATTCGTTAAGCGACAAATCTGCCGCTTGGACCGTTCTCAAATCCCAAGGCCGTTACTGGTGTTACCGAAGATAGAAAACTAAGCCAAGAACTGGAAATCATTCCAATCGAGCTACCGTCGCAGATTTGCGAAGAAAGACAAAAGAACTATCTAACCACCGGTGTCTTAACTCCATTACGGGGTCGGTGGTAGTCGGAACCCCAGTCTCAACAGGCCATCTATAAGTGGTAAAACCTTTCCCAGCTCTTACTGACTCTTCGGGTGGATTCGAGCCTGCATACTTTTGCTTGCGGGAACGTCGCAATTATGCCGTATTTGATTGGACGAGTCGTTGTACGGATGGAATACTAGGTCGGCTGTTGTCGGGGGCGCCCTTGGTTTGCGGTGGGTCGCAAGTCGTTGAGCTGGTCCTTATTTCCACCAGAACCCATAAGGCGTGTTCCGACCAAGGTTCATGATGTATGGGCCCTGTTCGATCCCGGCTCCTTGGTTCCGGTTCCTTTGTTATTACTCCGCCGCCGCTATTTTGGACGGTAACGAGGGACCGTAGTTGGTTGTAGCGGTGATAGGCTCTGTAGACGGAAGTCGATTCCATGCCGGAGTTGGTTCTGTTTCATGCCATTGCTGAGTGACTCGTTCAGATTTCCGATTGCACTTTGCACACGCACGGACAGGGCCCCAGCGTTGGGGCGCCAAATGTTACGGGTCAGTGTGGTGGCGGACCAGACAATACTCGAGGGCTAAGGTTTCAATCTATAAGGTACACCCACTGTGTGAAAACAATTAAAACATGTATAGAGAAGCGCTTGTGGACTGTTTCCCCTTTAAAGGTTTTCAAAAATCACGTCTTTTAAACTGCTTCAATTTTTTTAAGAAATTTTTACCCAAAGGTCTCCAAAAAAAAAACTGTTCGAAAGGGTTAACTTGTTAAAATGCAAAAAGACAAAAGATCGATTGTTTTAAATACGGTATGGCTGCCAAACTAAATTTACCCGAAAAGTCTGGAAAAATTACTGTACTTCCGAATAGAACCTGCGAAGTGCAAAACGGATAGGAAGAAATAAAGGATCCCCTCTAAACATAAGGGTTTGCCATTATAAAGCTCCGGTCATTTTATAGCTACGTTTTCGGTTATTCTAAAATCCAAAAAATTAAAATTTTAATGTGTGCCACCTGGGGACGGTCCTAAATCGGTTACTGACTTCACGACGCAACCGAATGCTGTTCCTGCAACTCTGTTACTAGCTGCTGTTATTATACTTACTTAATTTCCGGATGAGTGTTTCGTAAGTCAGAATTAATAATTAACACCCATTGTTTATTGGAATCTCTCAGGTCGGTGATATATCACTTATCTAACTGATATCGTGGTGAACCTGCATAGCCTTGCAATGTTAGTGCTAGTTTTAAATTAGCATAGGAAAATAATTCCTTAACGCGACTGAAATTCTAAAATATTAAATCTCCGTCGTCTTCTAAATGATAAGAGCTTTTGCACGCAATAAAGGTAATTGAAATATCCTGACGGGAACTGTCGCAAACGGCGGATTTATTACAGCTTTTGTTTACGGTAGCGGCGGATAAACACAACTTTCGAAATTAAATCAAATATCTTTACCTTCCATTTATAATTCCAAGAACCAACACAAGCTCGAAACTTTTCGTATAGAAGATTTTCAAATTCTTAAAAGCTGTCAAGGACCCACAAGGCTTATAAAGAGAGAAAATTGCTGGCCTTGAATGTTTTATCTTAATTATTAAGGGCTTCTTACTGTCTTTAATCACGTAAAGCGTACTAGGGATTTAAAAAACTTTAAGGGACCTTTTTTAAATTCTCACGCAGTCCCCTAAAGCCTTTAATTTGATCGTATTACAAACTACGAAAGTCGATTAAGAGCTGCAAATGACGGTAGGAGGATTTAATGGCCACTTTGAGAGACTTGAAAGTCTTTCTCAAAAATTAGACGCAGCGCTTTGCGGTTCTTCAAGGTTTTTGAAAATTTTAGGAAACGCAGTGGTTCTCAAAAGTGCTTTACTGCACTATTTTTAAGTTTTTCAAAATCCTATTAGGCTATTAGATGCTCTAAAGTCAATATAATGGTGTGAAAATAAATGAAAACAGTTTTAGTGGAGTGTTTGCGGCCTGTTTTACATTACAAAAGGCCTTTGAGTGCGTTTAAAGACACATGTTTAATGATCTCCAAGATTTCATTAAAACAGACATAAACTGTATTAATGTATTTAAAATACGCGTGAATCCAATGAAAAGCTTTCGAATACTATTCAAGTCTTTTAAAGACCATAAGGGCTTTTTTGAGGACCTTCACACAGTTTCAAATATTAATGAGTAGCTCTAAAGATGCTGCGTTTATATTTTCTAAAAGGTTCATGAAGCAAGGGTTTGAAAGTTTCGACCCTTACTCAAGCAAAGGAGAGGGACGTAAAGATTCTAAGGGCTTCTGGAACATTTTTTGAGGTTCTTGAGAATCTATAACAAAGCTCATTTTAAAAGTTCAGGTTGGTATGTTTAGTAACGTTAAAGTACTTTAAGAATCATCAGGAGCTGCTAGAGGTCTCTAAAGCCAATAGAAGGATGTGGAGAACAATGAAAAGAGAAGCATTTGGGAACGTAAATAAAAATAAATGTTTCTAAAGGACTAAAAACCCATAAGATCTTTAAAGGCTCTTCAAATCATGTCTTAAGAGAAACTTGTGATAGAGGCCTATGGCTCCCAGACCTAAACCCCAAAAGCCTTTACAATTTATTCAGTTAGAGGTTCTATAAAAATTCTTTAAGAGCTCTAAATACTCGGATCTTGAAGAGAAGATCCGAAAAGCTCTAGCAGGTTGTAGAAAACTCTTTGGATCTCTTAAAACAGAAACTGTGTGCGATCATTACGAATAGCAGACCTGAACAACCCAGAATCTTTTATGCGCGTTTGCGTGTTTCGTTATTAGCAATACTTAGCTCAATTCACTGTGAGAATATTGCCTCGCCGTTTCTGGAAAATATAATTCGAATGCATGACCATTCAACCGGATACTATAGAGGGGCTACTCATCTAACGTGCAACTGACTATAACAAAGTAGATAATTTGTTCAAAGAAGTGTTTCATTATTTTTCCATTCTCTTTGGCGTACGTTTCATTTTTTATTCATTCATTTCCCAGGGCGTGTGTCGCCAGAAAAAGGGAATCTATTTTTCATTTCAAGATCAAAACACGTTAATAAAATCCCGCATGAACTTTTATTAACCTCTTATCGATATAATAATGAGATCGACGTACAGATATTGTTGTTTCTAACAAATTTTCGTGCCCATAGGGAAACGCTAAAGATAAAAATAATATTGCACAGGCACAAGATGATATTATCTCTTCGGAACGAAAAGAAAAATAAAGTTATCTCACACGCTTGCCATAAATAATGAAGATATGAATCTCGCAAGAGATATATAAAGTTTGTTTATGCTTGTCACATTCCAATTTAAAGCTAATCTTAACCCAATTCTCCCCTTAAACTGAAGAAAACAAATATAATTGACCACCGGGGAAAATCAGTAAAAAGTTTATCTCGGACGACAGATACACAATTTACTCCCCTTGTTCTTAGCCCATTCGCTTTTTATTTTCGATTCAACTTTCCTCTTAGACTGCAAGTGTACGAGTAGACTATTTGAATAAAAATGCAAACACGTATCTAAGCGAAAGGAGCAATTCTATTTTAAACGAGAAGACTATTTGTAAAGTCATACCCATCTCGATTTTATAGTCTTCCTTGTTTACCTATGCATATTTAAGTAGGAAGGAAGCATCGTAAAAGTTTTGCATTCTCTTTTCTAGTTATGAATTGTAATTTCGATAAAAATCTAAGGGCATATAGACGTATTTTCGTTTATAGAGAGAACGAGAATCGTCGAGGAAATGTGACCATAAATTCTTGATTTCCAAGGAATAAAACGTAGTCTCTATCGATCGAAATTAATTAAACGCGTGCTCGTAACGTTCCCGTGATTACAAATCAAAAATACATGGCGCAGATTGGATTGAGGTGAATTACACTGCAACCAAACGCATAATACGTACCGTTATTGTATGTTTGATTAGTTTAACTACAATATATCGAGCATTTTGGGTTTAAGGGTTTCAATTTGAAAGTGTGGTAGCAGCATTTGTTGATATTCGTTACTGTGACATATTTAGATCCACATTTCAGTGGAACTCTTCGGTTAGCTGATGTTAAGATTAAAAAGACCCATTTCGCATTGCAAAACTTGCGTTTGTGATTTTCGACCGTGTTGTTAGCAACATAGATGATCCGTGTGAATTGGTTTCATCTAAATACAAAAATTGTAAATTACCCCTTGCACTGAATACAGAAGAGCCTAGTTCAATAAAAAAAGAAAGCGCAGAAGTAATATGAAACAGAGTTGTTCACTTAAATTCATGAAATTTAAGAGCAATTTAAGAGCACAACTCATTCCAAAGGGAAGTTAATGAGCTTTCAGTAACAAAGAGAGCCGGGGTGTACTTCTCGCTGTTATCCTGTTAGGATTTCAAAGGGACTTTTTGTAGAACCGATATCTGTTAAGCAAACACTAAGAAGTTTCCACATGAGGGATTTCCCTTATCTCCCATCGCGCATTGATCTTGCCTTTTTTTAACTGTGTGCCTTAAATAGCCTCAGTTTCCAGTTCGACTTCAACGTAAACGTGTAATTAACGATCAGACTCACCTGCAGGACAAGCTAGTTGGACCGCGCCGCCCAAGTCCACCTCGACGTGCCTCCCCGTTGAGCTGAGCTCCCGCACGTCAAAGTCGGGTTCCTGTGTTACGTCGACCTCGTCTGAAACATGCGACAAATGTTAAATGCGAAGCTTATTACCCTCATCAAGCTATGATTGTCCGGAAAACTTGGTGCGTAATTGATACGTACGTCGTATCTTGTCACTTATTAAATTTTTTATTGCGTAAAGGTCTGATCCTGTGTATGGACCCGGTGATTGCGTTCGTTACGGTTGGAGAATCAAAATAAACCAAATATAACTTTGTAGTGATACCAGACAATCCTTTCAACCAAAGTCAACTTACCGAATTTCCATCAGTCAGTTATCAACGTCAGGGAGGTCAGGTCAGGACGGAAGGTGCAGTAAAACAACAATCTTTAAGCAAAATTTCTTGGGAAAGCCGGTGCCGTGATATAGAGAGCGGCAATGGGTTCAAATGGAAACCGTAGGTACGACTCGTACTTTGCATTGCAGGAGAAAGTTTGAGAAAATATACTCACAAATTATACAACTTACCTGAAAAAGCGATCAAACAATCGGAAAGAGGGAGTTGGTCACCCAAAATGGAGAGGGGATAATAGAAAAAGTGAAACGGAAGAGAGAGACAACAGGAGGAGGGATAGATACTGGTAGTGCTACAGAACCGTGCCTGAACTGTCCAAGGTCGCTCGCCACCTGGCGGTCACCTTAGAAACTAGGTCAAAGTAAAGTTCAAAGGTCACCTGTCACGTAGAGGTGACCTTGGCGAGTATGTCAAGGTGAAACTCGAAGATCTTTTCCCCCAAAAACGTGTTGTCCTTTGTGCGGTGACCTCAGAAACTGGGCCAAGGTTGTTCGCCTCCGCCATATCTTTGTCGTTTTCAAGGTGATAAAAGACCAATGACCTCAGCTTTATTTTGTGGATTCATTTCATTTTCAGAGTTGTCAAAGGTTAACGATATTCCCTATGCTGTGATATTTTATTTTTAGACGGTGACCTTTGAAAACAGGTCAAGGTTAAGTTCATTTGTGACGTCATATTTCATTTTCAGGGCCATGAAAGGTCGATGGCTCAATTTTTTTGGTGTCATACTTCATTTTCAATGTCAACAACGGTCATCAATGACCCCGTTTGCTGTGTTTAAATATTTTACTTGCAGGGCGGTGTCTAGCTCGAGAATCGCTCGCTCCCGAGGATCTTTGTGGCGTCATTTTACTTTCAAGTTCATCAAAGATCAAGGTCTGCATATTTTGAGGTGCCATATTTCAATTCCAAGGCCGTCAAAGGTTAATCACTCCATTCCTTATGTAGTCATATTTTATTTTGCCGCGGTCACTTGGGAAAGTTGGTAAAGGCGAATCTCAAAAATCACGCGCCCCGTCAATGACACCATTTTTGCGGTGTCACATTTCATTTTTAAGGGAGTCAAAAGTTAATGACCTCATTTCTGTGGTGTCATACTTCATTTCCAAGGTCATTAAAGGTCAATGACATTTCTTGTGTTTAAAATTTTTATTTTTAAGCCGTAACCTTGAGAAGAACTTCAATGTGAAGATTAAAGGTAAAGGTCATCACAGCTCAATGACTTTATTTAGTTTCTTTTGTTACTTTCAATCTTCTCGCATTTTTAGTTCCAACCGCTCTCTCAGCTATTCTCACTCTTCTCGCTCTCCTCCACCCTTGGTTTGTTCCGTTCCTCTTTACTTTTTTGCACCCTAATAATCCTGTTCGCATTTGTTCTGATGCCATTTCGTGTTTAACCTCTCGCCATTTTCGTTTGCGTATTTTTATTATTATTGTCGTTTATATTGATCTTCCGGATGTTTCTATTTTACTTCGTTCTCTTCTGTATTTTTCTTGCTCCTATTCCCGTAGTCTTCTCTTCTCTTCTTACTCCTGCCAAGAATTTTTGTCGTACTTCTCCCTCTCCCTCTTTCTTTTCCTCATTTAGTTTTTCCGCTTATTACTCCCCTTCCTTTTCGTTTTTTTTCACTCTTCTTTATCTTGATCGATTTGCTCTTTTTGTGTGCCCTTTCGTCTCGGTGTTGGTTCTTTTCCATTCTGTTCCCCTTTCTCTGTCTTTCACGTTTCGCAATTTCCATCCTCATTTCACTCTTATTGGTGTCTTGGTTTTTGTTTTTCTCGGTTCCTGTTCTTCATATCGTTGTTCTCCTAGCCCCCTCTACGTTCATACTCCCGCTACTCCTTTTTTCCAAACGTCCCTCTTGTTCAGTTCATTTGTCTTGTTCCTCTAGCTCCTTATCTGTTTCTTTCACTTTTTTTTTTAAATTTTTTATGTTCTTGTTACGTTGCACCTCTTACTCCTCTCCCTTCTCTCGTCTCGCTTTGTCCATTCTTATCGTCTTCCTCGACCTCGCCCGTTTGGTACCCCCCGCGTTATTTTTCCCACTGGTCCCCTCTGAACCTTTCTCTCCCCTTTTCGCCCATTTAGGGTCTTTTAGGTTCAGTCTTGTGATTTATGGTCACTCCTCACCCGCCCCGCTCCCCTTCTTCTCCCTTGCTCCATCTTTCGTTTCGTTATTTATCTCTTACTTCACCCTTTCTGTCTCCTCATCTTTCTACTCCTTATCACGCTTTTTTTGTGTACATCTTGTTTTTCTACCTGGCTGTCCTTTGGTCTTTTTCTTTCGTCCCTCTCTTTAATATCCTCGTAATTCCCCTTGTCCTTTTTGATCCTTTTTTTCTCATTTTACTATTTTTATTCCTGCACTCTTCTCTCACACGCATCCCCTCTCCCTTTCTAGCCTTGACTGTCTTGCTTTCCTAGCTGTTTTACTTTCTCTCTTCGATTTTTTTTTTGTGTCCTTCTCGTTCTTCTTGATCTTCCCGCCTATACTCTTATTCTGTTTCCTGTTGACATTTACATTCTTCTTCTAGTCAGTCCTATGTATGTTTGCTCTCGTATTGGTTTGTTAATGGTTTCCAGAGAATTTCCTCCGAGGTTTGTAAAGAGTCCACAAGCACATTAAAAGAACCTTGTACGTGTCTGTACTCGTTTTCTGGGCCCGTTAAGGCCTTCGACTCATAAAACACACTTAGGTCGCACTAAAGATCTTTATACGCTCTTAAGTACCTACCTCCAACGACCCTTAAATGCCTCGTTTCAGTAGGTGCATATAGGGTCGGTTCTGGACCAGCTCAAGGTTGCTCGCTACATCGACTGACCTTGGAAAAAGGGCCAAGGTGAAGTTGAAAGGTTATTCGCCGCCTGAATGTGACGTAGGTCATGTTAAAACTCAAAGATCCGATGGGTCGTACACCCCTCAACATTTGAGCTAACCCTTAGTCTAGAAAACCACCATTTGACTCGATTTTGATATTCCTAAAGGAACCGACCCGGGACAATGGTTCCTAATGACGTAAATTGTAAACTTTTACTTACTTACCCCAGAATTTTTATTACATTAGAGCCCTTTGAAAACGAAAGAAAAGACAAAGGAAGAAAAGGTGGAGAAGAATAAGTTGGAGGAGATGAGGAATAGGCAGTAAATGAATGAATAAGATTCGGGAGGAAACGAGTGCTTAATTCAGTGTTGGATAGGGCCCACGAGGAGTAATTGATTTATAGATTCGTAGAGAAAAAGGAAACGAAGGAAGAAATAAAAAACATATAGCGTATCCTTAATTTGCTATGAGAGACTTTTGAATCTTTGTTTTAATTAAACAGGAGGTACCGTCTGTGTAAATAGCGCTACTGCTAAAATCGCCTGGACTAGAAGCTTAAATTGAAATTAAATTAATCGTTGTGTTGGCGTTAGAGCGTTTGACCGTAACACATCGTGTACAAATGTCAAAAAATGAATAAGGTTCGTACAAATGGAATCGTGGGACAAGTATATTAGGGAAGTTCGACCCTTAAAGGTAACGAGCGATGTTTCTTTTGAACTTGAACCGATATTTAAAGCGTCCATTATGAATATTAACGCAAAAATGACGAAAACTCAATTTGGCCCACTTCCATTAGCCCTGTGTAATATGAAATGCACCCTTCCTTTTAAAATACACCCTGGTTGGCTTTTAACTTAATTAACCTACTCTCTTAGTGCGACGACGTTTAAATCATCATAGCGAAATTTATTCCGCCTTAGGAACTTACATCGCACGTTTAAAAAGTATCCGATGCTCGAGAATCGTCCCAGTAGATGTCGCGAGGTGCACTTGTACCATCCGCTGTGCTCCCTCCGTATCTCGGTAAAGTTGAGGAAACCGTCGGGCGTCTGCTGCACCGGCGGATTCGTGTCGTCCTTTTGCCACAGCGGAGCCGCCCTCGGGTTCGAGTCGACGTCGCACTTGAGCGAGACGGGCATCCCCTCGCGGATGGGAATGCCGAAACCGGGCTCGCGAGATATGGCGAAGGAGGGCGTATCTGTAATAAAAGAAAGTGTAAGGAGGACACTTATCTTCTTCGGCCATTTCGGCCGATAATGCTAATGTATTGCGAGATTACGCGAAATTGCCCGCAAAAACGCTTGTGAGCGGGTTTTATGGCCCACAAAGTGTAAAATCTGCTTTATGGAATCATTTCTCATTTCAACTTTGCTCACACAACTCTGAAAGTTTGCAAAGTTGATTTACCATTGTTAGCGTTGTCGTTGTGCCGAAATCTTCGTAATTGAAAATCTCTAAGTTTGTGAAATGTTATTATAAAGTAGGTACGTTGTTGTCTTTTCGTTCGAATATGTAAATTTGATATTATTTCACCTAACATTCTGAATGATACCTACACATACCTCAGGAAATCTGGGTGTATTAATGAGCGCAAAACAAAATTGTGTTCCCTTTCGAACATTAATTAAATACCTAACGTCATTCTAAAATTCCAAACCTGAGGTATATTCATTTTGAGGCGCATTCGGGATTAATACTCCAAATTTCAAGTTCAATCAGTTCAGAAAGAGTTCCTGTTGGATTCAGACAGGCGAAGGAATTGAGAAGGATATTTAAAAAAATTAGGAAGCTTATCAATCGAAGAATATAAGGCTATAATTCCATACAATGAATTCATCAGGAGTTCAACATGTGACAGGATTAAATGGTCGCTTTAGAATTACTAAAAACTATTTTCGAGCTTGTATGGCCAACATAAGAAAATCTACAGATGTACTGCTTCATAGTAAACGTGAACGAAAGTATGTCTGGTGATAACAACTCCTACATTTTCGATAAAGGTGTGCATTTTCGAGATAAATTTAATATTCCTAAAGGAATCGACCCATGTAAATGATTTGTATGAGACAGATTTATTGAAAAGATTTGTCCGATTTGGATTCCTGCTGCTTCACAACGTGTACTTTCGTCAAAAAAGTGGGGTCATTTTTTACGCCAATACAATACTTCCTTTACTAACGTGCGGGTGATACAATTTACGCATTTTTATAGTTAATTAATCTCATTTTCCCAATATTTGAGGTTAGGAACGAGATTTTGAAAAACGGTTTCCACTGGCCTCTTTGGATGTTATTTGGCTACTGTTTCATAAAGAAAAAGTCATATAATTCCATTTGACCTTTTTGATTTTTTTAGAATTTTGCGTCATAGTGTCAAAACTAGCCCCCTGGCGGAGAAGGATTCAACTAAATTAACTATATTTGACTCTCATTGCCCAAGGAATGCTCTTTTCAACCATACTAAATTTGTTAAAATCGGTCAAACGGTTAAGTTAAAGGTTATTGCAAAAACAATTGAACGCCCCACACCATCTTTGTTTTTGAAATAACTGAGTTTTTGTTTTTACAAAAATAATAGATAAACTGGTTCTATTTAAAAATGTGAAGGAAGAATGTTTAGTTTATTATGCGAAATTTAAAGAAAATGCAATTTTAATATTTAAGATGGCCGTTAAGCAATGGTCATTTTTAGAACTTAAAAATATTTTCCAGCAATTGTTCATAACCGATTTACCCAATAATTTTTTTGCCCCTGTCATACGACGAACGGTTCTCGAGATATCGCCGAGAAACAGTCTTATTGGGTCACCCGGTACACTGACGTAGGGACACCAATTGCTCATTGAATTTGCGTTTTAATCGTGTGACATCGACGAAAAAAATGGGTGATAATTATTTGAAATAAAGATACATTAGTAGATAATTATCTACTAGTATTTTAATTCAGTATCAACGAAGACGAATCTTGACCTAAGGGTATCTGAAGCTTTTTAATCAGCCCTTTGTCCTTTTTTGCAAACTTCATATACCACGAATACGAGCCTTAACCTAGGGGAATTTGGTTATTCTGTTGTATTTCCAACATCGTGAATTAGGTACCTTACGGCTTGATCTTGTTGTCAAATAGTCCACGCGGGCCTTAGTTTCAGGAGGCGTCCATTAAGCAAGCGACAGCCACATAGGGATACTCTAAATCAACTCTGTGTTTAATTCCATAAGGCTAAATTCTATTACCGTTAAAGTTATGTAGCTCTCCTGACGAAGAAGATCAAAGGTTTCTCGTTGCTAAAACTCCAAAGGTTGCTCGTCGTTCAAAGTCCAAAGGTCGGTCGTTGTTCAAAGTGCAAAGATCGGTCGCCGTTAAAGGCCCCACTATGAGATGTCACATTTCATTTTTAATGGAACCAGAGATATCAATGGCGCAATTTTTGTGGTGTATATTCCAATTTCAATGTTATCAAAGTTTAATTGACCGTATTTCATGCAGTGTCATATTCAATTTTTAAGATCGTTAAAGGTCAATGCCCCGATTTTTTGTGGTATCTATGATGTCGACCTCGTTTAAACTGTTAAACTGGGAGGGAGGAGGGATAGCGATTATAAACGGAGTCTAATCAATGTAAAATTCCATGAGGTGAAATTCAGTGATCGCACTTTACTCTTGACGATGACTTTCAAAACTTGATAGAAGTCTCAAAGGTTAATGAAGTGGTGATCTTCGAAATTAAGTTAGTGTAAAGTGTAAAGGTTGGTCGCCTTTCAGAGTCCAAAGTTTGCTCGACGTTTAAAGTTCAGAGGTTGGTCGGCGTTCAAAGTTCAAAGGTTGCTCGCCGTTTAAAGTCCAAAGTTGGTCACCGTTCAAAGTTCTAAGTTTGCTCTAATCAATAATCGGTTAAGGTTGTGCGCGTCAAAATGGCGCCTGCACACACTTACAATTTCAAGATCAGTAAAATTTCAAACGGAACATCCGTCATATTATTCAAGTAGTATTTTCCCTAACTCAAAAGAACCGCTCATTGTTATAGTCCAGGTTACTACTAATGAATTATAGGACCTGAAGAGTTTGGTCTCCCTTTAATACTAATTTATCGTTTAAAGTAAAAGGCACCCCTATCAACAGTCAAGTTTTGTTTAAAACTGTTAAAGTCGATTGAATGATGGCGGTCCAGAAGCTTTTCAGATTGATGAAAAACATTCCTAGCCCACAATAAACGATGGCCCCCTTACCGTATATGATTGAAGATACCATCAAGAAGAAGCTGCCCTATTCAGTATCAATTTAATAAATCATCCATAACGGCTTTTATCACACGATATTGACGTAGCCTCCCCTCAAGTCAAATTAAAGTAATATGCCACAATTTCTAAAGTAATCTCTAAAATGCTCGGGCGTCATTAATCTTCTAAATAACAAGCACGCAACGCTCTATGAAGCTATGTCAGGTCTGCTCGTTTGGCCCGCTTTTTTGCCATACAACCTATCATCGATCCTCTGCGCCCTTTAGAATGTTGCGCGATGCATAACGCGTGCTTCGCGTACGGATTAGTTTCGAGTACTTCTCCCCTGCTCCACGTTACTAGCTTTTCGTTATCTAATTGGGAATTTCTCGTAATTTCGCCATTAACGGCGTAATCGTCCTCGGCATTCACCCCCTGTGTCGTTACAAATCCGTAGATCGATTTCCTTAAGTAAACGCAGCTACTTTCGTCTAAAAGATTGCATTGTTACATTCTAGAGTGGTCTAGCAACTTAATCCTCTAAAAGGCAAACTCTTATATTGAATAGGGACATAAAAGAGATGCAGCAGATTCTGGAGTAACATTGGTAACAGGAGGAGCTCTAAGTTTGTATTTAAATTCTTCCGTAAAATTAGGTAAAGAGATTTCTACGAGTAGAGTAGTTTAGTGGAACTGTAAAGAAAGATTTGTAAGTCGTGGTGGAAATTAACAATCGCGTATTCTCCGTACTTCAATTCAATAGAGCTTTGTTTTTTAATAGATTTAGGAAAATCTAGGTTCCGGAGAGTCGTAGATAAAGAAGTAATCTCATCTTGGTAGGGTACGACCCGAAGCACTTTCATTTCTGGAGGAACTCCAATAAAATTACATTTTGAAAAAAGATGGTGGACTTAGCTATCATGTCATGTAAAAAAGGATTGACCATCATATTTCGAGTTTGCAACGAGGGTGGACTGATAAATTACACACGTGTTGGAAAGGCATCCATAAAAGGATAATATTCCCCGGTAAATTATCAAAAGAAAAAATTATCCAACGGAAGGGTTTTAGACTACAGCTCCCTTCTATACCATTATTTTCCTAATACAAGTACTATTTCCGCGTCTTTGAAAAAGCTTTGAGCTTTTATTCCACGTTTCTACGTTTCTAGGACTACCTTCAAAATATCGTCGAATAGTCAAGAATTTATCAGATTTACTTGTACTTGCCTTGAATACCTTATAATTGCTTCTAAAGTTCTTGCCTTGTACGCCTCCTAAGTTCTGTTTAAGACCATCTTGTAAGTTTCCACTAATCTATGCTCGAATTTAGCACTAGGTCAAGTATCTATTCAATTTTCAGTTCCTTCTTGAATTCCTCTTTGAATTCCTGAATTGTCTTAGAATTTGTATTGGGTTTTTCTAACTTCCTACGCCTTTACTACGTTTTTTAACGGTTTATAAAACCCTCTTGTGCGCCCTCACAATTTCATCGCATGGGAAAGGTGCTCAGCGCCAGTCTGACGGGCGATAACGCAATCTTAATGTCTTTTACGTTACCAAAATGGCCGATTCTGAATTACTCGTGGCGATATCATGGAGATGTGGTGGGTTTTTAAATGCGTATGATTGGCGCAGTCTATTGGTTAACGATTAAAGCTATTAACGCCGTTTTGTAGGAACTTTCTGTGAAATTGAAAAAGTAGGAATGGAATAGATGGGATCTGTTTTTGGGGAAAGTCACATTTTTTTAATTCGCTAGCAGCCTTCTGAGATCCAACCGTACATTAAAAATTAGTGCCAAAGTCGTCCGTCATTTCAAAATCGAAGGGCTGTAAATAACCGGATTCAAAAACAAACCGCGCAAATTATCACTAAGAAAGTGTCGCAGATTAAATAAAATGAGGGTAGGTGCCGTGTCATAACACATAACATAACTAAAAGGTAAAACGTATTTTTAGAACCCGTAAAGACCTTCACAC